CCTATTTTTACCGGTGGTGTTTAATTTATCTTTTAACCAACTAAGCCTAGTTAAGCTGAGGTACATGTGATGTCTAAGTTCAAAACCAATTTCGTATTACATTCAATTGCCTTTCTTGGCGGCAAAAAAATTTGTTTAAAATTTTCAAAATACGCTGCTTTGGTTAATTAAGCTCATCGGATCTCTTAGCGTTAAAAACTCGTGATTGGGAAGCTTTTAGGGTACCAATTTGGAGTTTATGGAAATTTTCATCAATTTGCACTATGGTAGTATGCTCAATTGCAACATTGCATTTAGTTTTGTCTGAGATTGAAGAACCAGCACCTTTGCCAACTAGTGGCGGCCATGTTAGAGAAAGATGATATATGAAATGCTCGTATTGCAGCTGTCAACAGCGAAAGTCAGTATAAATCTAGGCTTTCAAACCCATCAAAGGAGGCCTGTGTGGTCTTCAAAAAGCTCCAAGTTTTTTTTTAATAAAAAATATGTACGATCTTTGGCTTTTGTTCACTTCATAACCTGGGAGTCACCAAAGACTAGTTAAATAAAGCTTGACTTGATAATTGGTCGGAATAGCTCGAATTTTGTATTAATTTTGCTGTAGTTTTTCTCATAAAATGGTAATATATATGATGCTCTTCTTAACAACTGTATAATGCTAGCAATAAAATGTTCGACGAAAAGAGATATTCAATTTGATATTGTATTGAAAATATGTGGACATAATTTTGACTTTAGATTTCAAATCTAATATTTTACCGACAAATTTGGTTATCAACTGACATGGGCAACTTACCCCAGGGGAGCTAATTACTACACTAATTTAGCTTCAATCGATCAATAATTCATTGGTTTATTTCGGCTAATAACACGACAACAGGCTGGATTTCATCATTTTTAAACATTAAGTTCAGCTTGGCTTCTTTACGAAGTAACTCAGTATACAGTGCCAAGTTGCAAATTGGTAGAGCGTGTCTATATTTCTGTGGAATGTTATGTTATGTTATGTCAATCTGGATGATGAATATTTCTATAAGTCATAGGGCAGAATGTTTATTGTTTTCTGGACATTGTTGTAGCTGTAACCTCAATATCTAATTTTGGTAGCAAAAGTTTGGAAGTTTGGCAAAGAGAGGGAGAAAAAATAAAATCAMAATATGGCTTTCAAGAAATTTGGGGAATATAAAAGCATATAAATCTAATATGTCTGCCTTGATGCTGTTGGTGTACTTCCTTTTTTTGCTCCATTCAATATCAACTCACGCTTAGCCCAGTTTTTTCATCCCTTTAAGCGCCGTTTACAGTTACACGAGCAAATTTTCCGAGCAAAGTTTCTTGACAAGGAAAAATTGTCCTTGTAAATTGTCAACAAGTTTTCCTTGACAATTCCTCCTTGACAATGTTTCTTTGCTCGTGTAAACGAAGAAAGAGTTTTCTTTGACAAGGAAAAATTGCCCGTGTGAATGGTCAACAAGTTTGGCCTTGACAATTTTTCCTTGCTGCACATTTTCATTGTTGTCCATTTACACGAGCAAATTTCGTCCTTGACAATTTTTCCTTGTCAAGCCAAGCGAACATGTTGGCTTTTCCTTGAAAAGGAAAAATTGTCGATTTTACCCCATTTACACGAGCAATTTAATTTTCCTTGTCAAGGAAAACTTGTCAAGGAAAGATTGCTCGTGTAAACGACGCTTAACGTCCGAAACATCCGAGTAAGTTGTTCCTAAAACGCGTTATTGAAACGTTGGATATATTTTCACTATGACTAAATACGTTTTATCGTATAATTCTCTATGAAATACTTATATTTCTCCATTTCGAAAAACTTGATATTTTCACTAGTGAAAATAACACATTCGAGGTTTCTCTATATAGTGGAAGTAAGAAAAAAAGCTATTTTACGACATAAGTTGCTTTCATGTACAATTATAGAATATATGATATGTTCGCTTGGAGATACGAATTTCATCTTCTCGTGTTAAAAATCTTCTCGACACTCGAAGATAAAATCTGTATCTCCACGCGCCCATGTAATATCCTCTATATATTTCAAAATATTCGGAATTTGATTTCGTTTACAGTTCTAAGCTTCCATTTTATTAAGGTCTCATGAAACATGATAGGCTTCACTCACATCTGCCTCGTGGCAGAAAGCAAGTTTGTTTCAAATTTACGCACAGCGAAAATAACGTTCGTTCCTTAATTGTTATATTACTTACAATCCTTCAATGGCAACATTCAGACAATTGAGCTACAATTTAGGGTGCTTTTAGATGAGATTAGTTTTCTTAAAGTTATTCAGGCGAGAAATTACTAGCCTTCTTGGGGAGTGCATCCAATAGCTAAGATGATATTAAACGGTTATTTTTCGTTTTCAATTGGCCGTTCCGAAATTCAAAACGAGACTGATATGAGCAAGAAAATTTTCCACTTATCGAAAATTTTATCTTACCACATGAAAGACCACACTATAATTAGTGTTCTTGTCAAGTTTGAGAGTATATTTTGTTGAATAATACTCATCGAGTAGGAATTTTTTCAAATTTGTAAAAATAAGACAAAGAATGTTTATGGTTTTTGGGGACGCTGCTCAAGAGTATGGTGGCCTAGAAGTGCCACAGTCAATTAATGAAAATAAATTATTATGTTTCATTATTTTATCTACTGACTACAAGTTTTGTTTGTATATTTTTTTACTTAAGCTCTTGTTCAGTTAGTTTTGATTTAGTTTTCATGTTTTTTAGCTTTGAATTAATTTAGTTTTGTTTAGATTTAACCATAGTTTAGTTTAATTTCAGTTTAGTTATGCAAATTCAATTCAATTTTCAAGGAAGAAACACAGTTTTATTTCCAATATGAGGTTTAGTTTTCAAACCGATGTTTAGTGCAGTTCGATTACTAGAAAACTAAACTCATCCCTGGCCTATTCGTGCCATAACATTGCAATGCCTAATTGTCCCAGGCGTTTCTCGCTTGTACCCAGCTCGTCCCCAGCGCACGTTTATCGAACGCCTGGTGAGTTGTGTCAAAATGGCGGCAGCTTCGAATCCGGAATGGCAAACAGACGAAGAAATCCAAGAAGATCTTGAGAAGATGGTTCGCAGAAACTGGCGCCAGTTCGAAATTCTAGATTTTGTGAAGTCGAGCTACCCCATGTATACATGGAGATTGCGAACTCTTTGCCGAAGGTTGTGTCATTTCAACATACGGTATATAACAGACTATTCGGTTGACGTGCAGGACAGTGCAGGAGGTGGTTGGAGCTGTTAAAAAGGAAATGGAAGGACCTGGAAGGTTGCTCGGGTWCAGAGCTATGCAACTAAAGATTCGCGAAGTGCACAATTTGAATGTTCCTCGTGATRTTGTTTACGCCGCTATGGGTGAGGTTAATCCAGCAGGATTAGAGGCAAGAGGAGGAGTAGGACAGCCCAAGAGAYCGAAGCGAACAAATGCCTTTGTCACTGGAGTAAGCACTACTCAACCCCAATTTATTCTTGCCTAAGTCATCATTTGGAGATTAATCAGATTAAAAATTAATAGGCCCTTTGCAGCTGGGCGTCACTTGACCACATCTACCTTAAATCAATCAGCTATCAAAAAATGATGTTCAGAAATGGATAGAGGGGATCCATCAAAATAGGTAAGAAGACATAGTTTCAAGTCCCAACTCTAACATATGCAAAAACAGCACTGGAGAGCAAGGCTTGCTCACCAGTTCTGTTTTCCCACACGTTTCTTTAGTTAGAAAAATCAATATTTTACATTTGCTGTCATTTTTGAAGTATTTAGAGTTGAGACTTGAGATTCTGCCATTTTACAAACATAAACCTGCTCTTTCCATTTCTGAACATCATTTTTTGATAGCTGATTGATTTAAGGTAGATGTGGTCAAGTGACGCCCAGCTGCAAAGGGCCTATTAATTTTTAATCTGATTAATCTCCAAATGATGACTTAGGCAAGAATAAATTGGGGTTGAGTAGTGCTTACTCCAGTGACAAAGGCATTTGTTCGCTTCGRTCTCTTGGGCTGTCCTACTCCTCCTCTTGCCTCTAATCCTGCTGGATTAACCTCACCCATAGCGGCGTAAACAAYATCACGAGGAACATTCAAATTGTGCACTTCGCGAATCTTTAGTTGCATAGCTCTGWACCCGAGCAACCTTCCAGGTCCTTCCATTTCCTTTTTAACAGCTCCAACCACCTCCTGCACTGTCCTGCACGTCAACCGAATAGTCTGTTATATACCGTATGTTGAAATGACACAACCTTCGGCAAAGAGTTCGCAATCTCCATGTATACATGGGGTAGCTCGACTTCACAAAATCTAGAATTTCGAACTGGCGCCAGTTTCTGCGAACCATCTTCTCAAGATCTTCTTGGATTTCTTCGTCTGTTTGCCATTCCGGATTCGAAGCCGCCGCCATTTTGACACAACTCACCAGGCGTTCGATAAACGTGCGCTGGGGACGAGCTGGGTACAAGCGAGAAACGCCTGGGACAATTAGGCATTGCAATGTTATGGCACGAATAGGCCAGGGATGAGTTTAGTTTTCTAGTAATCGAACTGCACTAAACATCGKTTTGAAAACTAAACCTCATATTGGAAATAAAACTGTGTTTCTTTCTTGAAAATTGAATTGAATTTGCATAACTAAACTGAAATTAAACTAAACTATGGTTAAATCTAAACAAAACTAAATTAATTCAAAACTAAAAAACATGAAAACTAAATCAAAACTAACTAAACAAGAGCTTAAGTAAAAAAATATACAAACAAAACTTGTAGTCAGTAGATAAAATCATGAAACATAATAATTTATTTTCTTTAATTGACTGTGGCACTTCTAGGCCACCATACAAGAGCTCCATACATTCTTTGTAAATTTTTCGAGTAAAACGCTTGTAGCTCTGTAAATATTAATCCGAATAATACGCTCAAACTCATCAACTATGCTATTTTTATTATTAAAATAAGTTTAAAAAAACTTAGAGTTTTTTTGCTATTTTATTACAGGATGTTTAAGTTCGTAATAACTATATTCTTGATGAAATCAAGCTTTGTCATGTCATCTTACTATGGAATTGAAGATCAACGATCCTCTTTCATCATCACAACCGATGACCACAAGCTTGTTGGTCAAACCATCCACAAAAGGAAAGCTACTGATGTCTTTGATTGTGCTCTCTGCCTGATTGGTGACCAGTGCAAGTCGTTCAACTTCAATGAAGAGAGTGGAGACTGTTATTTGAACGGGCGAAGGGCAAAAGATAAAGAGCTTGTGCAAGCGTATGGCTTCATCTATGGAGAAAAGGTCAGTAAGATGTTTAGTCCATTTTAACCATTAATAAGAATATACAAGGAGGGAATGAGTAATTGAAAGAAAGGGATGATATGAAATAAAAAAATAAAAAAAGGGGAAAGGAAAAGAAAAACAAGGAAAGTGAACATC